CTGATGTCAACAGTTGCATTGTCTTTTTGTAGTTTTGTAGTAGCTGTGTAGGAGTAGGCTGGGCGCTGAGCGCCAAGTGTGAGTGTAAGGGAACTGTACTCGTGTATTGGGGGAGAGAGTGAGCTCTCCACGGACATTGGTTTTCAGTACTATAAAACTCCATTGGTGTATTGTTGGTGCAATGCTGCTATCTGGACACGGTGCGACTATTTGACTTGCAATGTGATAATGTGATCTGGGATTGTCCTCTTGCTGTTGCTTATTTTCCTTACACTGTACATAACTCCGAGCTGTTGGGGTCTGCGGCTTTCCGCCTAGTGCGTAGCCATTGGTTCACCGGTAGGGCTGCGTAGGCAATCAGCCACTGCAAACTTCTAATCTTGATTGGTCTGATGCGTTTGAATTTTTCCCAGTGGATTCGTGTGATTTTGTCTGCTTCCTGCCCGACGAGGTTCCACCATCTGTTTTTGATAATAGGGTCTGGATTTTTGGTCTTTAGAGACAGTTTGTACCCAAGTTTGACTGTGTAATCCTGGATTGGAATTTTGGTCTTAATGTTGCTGGCCTTATTTGGCGTCCACGCCCATTCCGCTGGATCGAACTCCAAGCTACGGATTGTAGTGTCAGGTCTGAAGACTGGCTTTGGCCATGCCCCTAGGACCCTTACTTTCCGGAGCAGGAAGGATTCTAAGACTGACGACTCTACATCGCAGTTCAAGATAGTTGGCGTACCAGTATTGGTGAGGGAAATCGGGAAAGAGAGGAAAGTGGCCCTAGTGTGTGAGCCTTGCTGCAAATGGGAGAATTGAAAGGCTCTAGAGGGGGTTACGGCTTGAATCATAAGTCCCCACTCACCCGGTCTCCACAATTCGTCTTTTACCAGGATATCTTTCCATTCCTGTGGGATACAGCTAGGTATATAATGGAGATTGGTCCCTCATCTGTGGCATCCTTTCAGTCGGGAGCTGACTTCTTGTTCCGTTATCCAGCCCTTTCTATCCTCTTTCCATAAGTGGTCAACTTTCCAGATACCGTTCTTGATCCAGGACAACCACCTCTGTTCTGGGAAGAGTGGGTTGTAGTTGGAGCTTTTTTTTAACTGGTTAAAACTTATGACTTATAAATAATAGTGCAGGTGCCACTTGTTGGAGGAACATGTATGATAGAGGCTCATGGAGCTGAGTGCAATGCATGCCCTAAAGAAAAAACTTGCTGCTGCTATCGGATGATTGTGTCATGATTGGTAATTGCTCTCTGGAATTGGTAGATGACTTCATGGAGGCCTCAAACAATGAAGCCTTCTTCTGTAGTTGTTTCCTGACCTCATAATTTGCAATGTGCACCTTGGAACAGCTAGGAGACTTTGGGCTTGCAAGGGACGGCCCCACAGCGGCAACGACTTACCAATGCGGCAGCTTTGGCTACATACCGCCAGAGTAGGCACCTTTCCCTGTGTTCTTGCTTGATATGCTTAAAATACAGAGTTGTGAAGTCCACAGGCAGCTTTGTCATTCTGTTTTGCTATCTCAGACGTCAAGCACAAATACATCCAACACATTGTGAATGCCATGCATTTTCATTGCAGCAGAAATGTAATGCATTTCTGTGGAAAGCACTCATCTGTTTGGCTGGTGAGAGATGCACCTTTCCCTGTGTTCTTGCTTGGTATGCTTAAAATACATAGTTGTGAAGTCCACAGGCAGATTTGTCATTCTGTTTTGCTATCTAAGAGGCAAGCACATACACAGCCAACACATCATCTGTCTGGCTGGCCAGAGATGCACAATTCCTCGGGCAAGCAATGTGCATTGTATTGTGCGTCTTACGAGGATGGTGGTGCCATGTGCACTCTGCATGCTGTTTCTTTGCTGAAGTAGCTCCTATACAGGGTGCCTTATCATTCAATCCCATAGTTATACAACAGTGCAGATTACTGGGTGTGTGAGTGTGAGGAACATATGTTTGTTGTTTGTCATCTTCCTCCTTAGAAACAGTGAAAGGAATGAAAAGAAATTTGGGAAATGGTCCAAATGGATTATTGTGCATAATGCAAAGGACTGAAGAACGCTCGACAGACTCTCCACAGGATGCTGCAAAATCTTTTCAAGTTTGGTCCTGCCAACAATCATCAGGAACATGGACACTCGTGTATGAACCCCGTCCATACCACATGCAATGACCCGCACAAATCGCTGTCTGAGATTCCTGCAATTGCTGAGATAATGATGTCCTTTTGATCTGTTTTCCGTAATTCTGAGTCTGAGTCTGTTATACTGCAATTTGCTGCGTTTTCTGAGCATGCATATGATCTACCACTGACGTGCATGTGCTGTGTGCCTGCCTGGGTCCAAGCCCGGGTCTGTGCGCTAACCCTGATGGCAGTGTTGTGCGGCTGTGCCTCAGAGAGGGACAAGGTAGAAATAGCGATACGACCAGGGGCAGGGCTGAAAGTTAGTCATAGCCAGTATGGCCCCAGATTTCTCCGAGGAACAGATGGCGCAAGACAGACCCATCTTCCCCCTCCAATCCCACCACTTAAGAAGAGAAGCGGTCAATTGCGGACCCGGAAGCCTCTTAAACCTTTTTGATTCCTATCGTAGGGCTAACTCCAATTGCAAAGTCTTCACTACTTGCCTTAGACATACAGCGGAAGGTCTCATCTACAGATCTAGAATCAACCTCATCCTCCTCTCAGATGAACTAGAGGGTGGACATCAGTTAGCTCTCATCTGCCCATCTGGATCCCATAAGGGACTAGACCATAGAATGGCTATGGTTGCACTTACTTTTAGAAAGAAACCAGACCAAGGAAAGGGCTACTACAAATTGAACACCTTGCGCTAGCTTTACCACAATCTCTGCGCTCCGTGACTGACTGGTGACTGATTCGTGACTGACTCATGGGCATTCTGGCAAATATAGAGAAACGAGTATGACTCTCAGATCTTATGGCTCAACAATTGACTCTTGCTTGGTACAAAAGTGCAAAGAATTTTTATGGGCAGCCAAAGAGCACCTCGAAGAATAAAACCTCACAGAGCTACTCAATTATCTACATAACCTGGAGCCAGGTAACGAAAGAGAGAGAATAAGTGTCGCTCATGAAATTCCTAATGCGCAGTAGGCGTTACAGGAAATAGTTGAGAACAGATGAAAAGGCATCGGCGTCCACAACATACCAGAAAAAAAAAAACACGTGATGGAACTATGTCCTCTTCATTCGTCCAAATTGCCAAAATTCATCCACGCAGAATAATAATCGAGGCCCTGCAAAACCCAACCAAACTCTTGGACCCTCCTGTCTTCACGCCACTACAGTGCATGAGAATAGCAAGAACGTTCTACAATGATCTCTTCACCTCTAAAATAGACACCTCGGACCAAGGTAAACGACACCAGGACATCCAGGACTTCCTCTCCACAACTGACAAAACAACAACCCACAGAAGGAGGGACTTGACAACACGATGTCCAAAGATGAAATATGTACAGCCCTCCTGCAGATGAAAGAGGAAATGACCCCAGGGCCCAGGACCTGGACACTTTCCACCAAAAGAGTTTGGGAAACCAATGGATAGCACTGGCCTCAGACCTCATGGACTTTGTAAATCTGGTATGGAAAGAAGGGCACATGGGGGAACTTGTGGGACAAGGGATTCTCACCCTGCAGTACAAAAAAGGGGATAAGATGGATATCAGAAATTAAAAACCAATCACCCTCTAAGAGAGTATACAAATGATCTCAAAACCTCTGGCTAACAGACTGAAAGGGTTGATTGAATCTGTGATCCACCCAGGTCAGACTACATTTATAGAAGGGACGAAATATACAAGACAAGTTAGACAACATCTTCCTCATAAATGAGGCGCTGAGATTTGTGAGACAAGATAAAGCTAATGCGGCCCCAATCTTCAATGACTTCGAAAAAACCTATGACCTCATTGATTGGGATTTCTTGGACTGGTGTCTGAAAAAACTCAACGTAGGAGCAGGATTCAAGAGATGGTTGTCAAATTGTCATCCCTGCACCAAACAGCAACAGCCCGTGTGCAAATCAATGGGACCCTCGCCTCAGAGATCCGACTCTAGAGATCAGCCAGACAGGGAGATCCTCTAGCCCCGCGTCTGTTTATACCATAATTGTGGCGCACTTCTGCGGTGCGCGTGCGCCATGCACCATGCGCAAATTAGTGATGTGCTCAATTATTATTATTATGTTACGATCCTGGCCAATTTCGAAGTATACAAACATCAGAAAGTACAATGCCGTCCAATTGCAAAAAGAAATGAATGAACTTGAGAGGAGAGGGAGGGAAAGAAGAAGAAGAAGAAGTAAGAAAGAAGAAGAAGATGATGTACTCCAGCATAGACCAATGACAAGGCTCTTCTTCTTCGCCAACCAATCTCCTCCTCCTTCTCTCCTCCCCTCTTATTCAAACAAGAAATAACAATAATAATGTTGAATGGCTGAACCAGAATCAATGTCCGAATCCCACTTCTACTGCAGGCACAACATGAGGTCCACCATAGCCATGGCCACCCTTCTCCTTCCTCGTCATTGCAGGCCGAGGCAATGGCGGACTACTGAGGCTTCAGCCTCCTGTCCAAAGGACAACCCAAAGCAGCTATGTCGCTGCCGCTTCAAGCAGCTATGCCGCTGCTCGCTGAACCGCCATGTCGGACTCTACCCCGAGCTTCCTTGGTGCAGCACTACCCCAACGGGGGCCTTCCAGATGCAGCGCCTAACAAGGTGATGAAGATGGTGTCCACCAGGCCTGGAAGTCACCGGTACCTCCTCCCTTTCGGAGCGAAACATCATTGCAGACTCTGCTATTGCCCGTACAGGCTCTAGACTCGGACTAGATGGACTGGTACTGGCCTAGACCTAGCCTACCGCTACTGGGCCTCTAAAAATGCCAACTTTGTCTTCTTCTGCTCGGCCTCGAGTACCCAGCACATCTACTGCTACTGGGTGCGGTACCGGCCTACCTGCTACTTGAGTGTTTTTCCGCTGCTCTAAGCACCACGGGCCCTTGGCTCCGCTACTCGAGTGTTTTTCCCTGCTGCAACCCTCAATGCCACGGCCACAGGTAAGTACCGGCCCTACGGGCCTGCCAAACAAGCAAGTACCCTTGCGGGTTACACACACACTCATGCCAACAAGCACTCAGACAGGCACGCAAGTTAACAGGCATGCACACATACAGACTTTGAAAACACAGCAGAATGCGGGAATCTCAGCAAGGCATCCATTCCATTGGCAAAACTTCATAAATCAGCAGTGTTCTCAGTCTGTGTTATGGCGGTGTCGAACGCAACGGTCCCGCAGGGGGACCCTCCCGGCCGCGTCACGCAAGATTTTGCAGAACTTCGTTGTTGAGCGCAGTTTGCCGCTCCGACCGAGTGCGCCAGCCGTACCTCTCGCGAGCCCCTACGACAGGATAGGGTGATGCGAGGCACGTCTTACCTTCACCCGCGGGAATTGTCACCATTCCTTGGGTGGGCGTATCCCCGCCGAGCTACCGAACCACATGCGAAGGCTTTTCGTATGCAATCGCAGAGGTGGCCCGGCCGAGAGCGTTTCTCGTTCGCTGTAGCATAGGGGGTACGCGCGGTCAACGCCCCTCAATCGGACCCACACGCGAATCGCCGCATTGGGGGGCTGAGGTCCCAAGCACGACTCGTCATTGGTCGACTAGGACGCAATCCACTCACCACACGTTACACCACAACAAATTTAAAATACACACACAAAAACAAAAGCTCTCCTAGTCCCTTCAGTGTCTGGCCCATAACCTCTTAACACAGCAATCGGGTTCGGCGTCGTGCGCGAGACTCAACATAAAATTGTGCGAGCGCTAGGCCTTTCTCACATCGACTAGCAACGCCACATGCGAAGGCTTTTCGTATGCAATCGCAGAGGTGGCCCGGCTGAGGGCGTTTCTCGTTCACTGTAGCATAGGGGGTACGCGCGGTCAACGCCCCTCAATCGGACCCGCACGCGAATCGACGCATTGGGGGGTTGAGGTCCCAAGCACGACTCGTCGTCGGTCGACTAGGACGCAATCCACTCACCCCGTGTTACACCACAACAAATTTAAAATACACACACAAAAACAAAAACTCTCCTAGTCCCTTCAGTGTCCGACCCATAACCTTTTAACACAGCAATCGGTTCGGCGTCGCGCGCAAAACTCAACATAAAATTGTGCGAACGCTAGGCCTTTCTCACATCGACTAGCAATGCAAGCATATGCATGCAGTCACAATGATGGAGTACTATCTAGTACCCATAATCACGCGACCCTTGATAATCTCGAGGGTCACATTCGACACTCAAGTGTCGGCTGATACGTGCCTTGAGGGGTTAATCTCTCGACGCTAGACAACCGCCAAGGCGGTTGAACACCACACCCTCTTCTGCACCCTGCGGAG